TTTCAGCAACATTTATTAGTTGCATATAAAATGCCAAGAATTGTGCTAGATGCATTTACATAAACTGTCTCATTTAGTCAATAACCTTGTAAAATACAGATTAATTTATAGATGACTTTCTTGCCTAAAGTCACACAACAAATAGGGCCTTTTGTGCCAGAGGAGTTTATCAAGAAACTACCACATGGTGGCATTTTTCTATGCAATAGGATGCATCATTAACATTTGGGTGGTGGGGCCCAGGATGAGAGTACAAATTGAATTCCCTATACCACACATCTAAATATTTAAAATTATAAACAGTCATTTGCTGGAACAAGCTCTTGCAGGCGTGGGTGAGCTGATTGTATGCATCTCTTCCCAAATTCACATTCTGTAATGTTATATTGGTAGCTTGAAAATAGATATGGTGGGAACAGTTAGGCCAGGGTAAATGACAAACATTACCAACTGGTTTTTTATTTGTTTCTTGGTTTTCAGAGAGCTTCTTATTAAGCATTTGCCAGAACAGCACTACCTGTAACAATCAAACTGTCGAATAAAACATGTTTCTTCCCGTAACCTTGAAAAATATACCTTCGTAATATCCTGGAAGGCCAAGATTGAATTTAGTCCCAGTTTCCTTGTTGTCCCACACCAGAATTTGGCAGGGAAGAGGGTCAAGCCCCCAGCCTGCAACCTGAAGCCCTAGCTCTTTCCATTTTTCATCCCTCCCAATTTTCACCATGCTCCTGGAGAAAGTTCATGTGCACACATGTGGTCATGCCAGCACACACATCTAACCTTCATTTATCTATACACCACACACACACAAAGAGCTGCCTCAGACCTCCCCCTTGGGCCTAGGGACGTACCTAGCAGGGTTACAGGACAACGTCAGAGGGCTGAACGAAGGGAAGAGAGCACTCACAGAGCCTGGAAGCAGACACAAGTCTGAAGGGTCTGAAATTTTAAGTTCTGGGATCCAAGAGCATTATCTAGAATAGGAGAATGATGTAGGCTCTGGGTCTGTATTTATTCCATAAATAAACCATGGGGAGTGGTACAGATGGAGAAGGGACAGAATATAACCCTCTAGTTATATTTCATTGTACATGTACACAATGTGTGAAAATCAAATCAGGATCATTAGCATCTCCATCATTGCAAAAATTTATTATTTATTTGTGATGAGAGCATTTGAGCTCCTCTCTTTCAGCTATTTAAAAACAAACAATAAATTATTGCTAAAAATTTGAAAGCAAGCTGAAGACTATAAAGGGTTATCTCAGATAGGAGACAGCCCTCAGGGACATTCTTATTTTTTTTCAATCTTTTTTTTTAATTGGCCTTAATAATTGTACATATTTATGGGGTATGGAGTTATATTTCAATACACTGTACAATGTGCACATGTATACAGGGCCCAGGGTAGAGGCTCCTTTTGCCTGATCTAAGAATGATGCAAAATACAGAAGTCCCAAAGCCCACATAGCCCTTTTTATTTTTTTTCATTTTTGTCTTTTTTCATGTCCAGCAACGGATCGCAACCCTCAGTGTCGCGCCCGTACCGGACCAGGACCGGCAACGGGATCGCAACCCTCGGTGTTGCGTCTGCACCTCGCTTAGCCAGTGAGCGGGAACCGGTCTGTATGTGGGATCCGAACCCTCGGCGGGAGCGCCGCCGCGCTCCCAAGCGGCGCACTGTAGCAGTGCGCCACCGGGCCGGCCCCCCACATAGCCCTTTACTGGGAGGAGATCCAAGTAAACAAATTATTTTAAAGATCAAATTGTCTACATTACCCCCCCTTTTTGGTCCAAGTAAAATAATATTAGTAATTACCATTTATCAACAGCTTACTATTTACTCAGAGCTTACTAAGTGCTTGGAGATTAAATAACCAAAAAGTCAGAGCTTGATTACTAATTTTAGTTAGCAAAATGATTAGTAATATTTATTTATCACAAAATTTTTGTCATTGGAAAAACTCAGGGTAGCTTCACATTCAGTGGAAGTGCTCCTTCTACCTACCTAGCTGAATGTTTCTGCAAATTCTGGACTGGCCTTGCTCCTTGGTCATGGGTCCTGTCACCAGGGGTAACAAAAGAATTTTCAGTATTTACCTCGGAATTAGAAACACATGGGCAAAGTGTTGGCAGTATTGGCTCTGAAACCAGTACTACCTCTTAACATGTTTTGAGACCTTCTGTAGTTCATATATCACTATGGTCTCATTTCCTCCATCTGAAATCCAGAATATTAATATTGTTCACTACTTCCAGGATAGTACACTGAGAGGCCATATGCAAAAGCAAGCTGAGAAATGTAAAGAGTTAACACAGATAGGAGCATGCATTGAGGGAAATGCTTACATTTGTTTAATCTTAAGAATACTTTTTTAAATTTATTTTTTAAATTAAGATATAGTTGAAAAATAAAAATTATATATATTTACGGTGTACAACGTGATGTTTTGATTCATATATACATTGTTAAATCAAACTAATTAACATATCCATCACCTCACATACATTTTTTTGTGTGAGAACATTTAAGATCTACTCCCTTAGTAACATCCAAGTATACAGTACATTATTATTGACTATAGTCACCATGCTGTACAATAAATCTCCTGAACTTATTCATCCTGTCTAACTGAAATTGTGTACCCTTTGACCAACTGACATCTGTCCATCCCTCACCCCCATCCCTAGACCCTGGCAGCTACCATTCTGCTCTCTGCTTCTATGAGTTTGATTTTTTTAGATCCCACATATAAAGTAAGATCATGCAGTAGTTGTCTTTCTGTGCCTGGCTTACTTCATCTAGCACATCCGCACATCAGGCTCATCCATGTTGCTGCAAATGACCAGATTTTCTTCTTTTGTAAGGCTGAATACTATTCCATTGTGTGTGCATGTGTGTGTGTGTACACACCACACATTTTCTTTATTTAATCATTGATGAACACCTAGGTTGATTCCTTATCTAGGCTATTGCAAACACTGCTGCAATGACATTGATCCGGACAATGATTTTTTGGATATGACCCAAAAAACACAGGCAATAAAAACAAGAATAGACAAATGGGATTATATCAAACTAAAAACTCCTGCATAGTGAAAGAAACCATCAACAGAGTGAAGAAAAAAAACCTATGAAATGGGAGAAGAGATTTGCAAACCATAGCAAGAAAAAAATAACCTGATTAAAAAATGAGCAAAGGTTTTGAATAGACTTTTCTCAAAAGAAGGTGTACAAATTGCCAACAGGTATATGAAAAAATCCTCAAAATCACTAGTCATCAGAGAAATGAAAATTAAAACCACAATGAGATATCAGCTTACACTGTTACACTGGCTATTTTCAGAAAGGAAATTGTTGAAGAAGATGTAGAGAAAAGTGAACCCTTATACATTGTGCTTGGGAATGTAAATTGGTACAGTCATTACAGAAAGCAGTATGAAGGTTTCTCAGAAAATTAAAAATATGTGGGATTTGATCCCTGTACCAGCTGGCAAAAAAAAAGAAATTAAAAATAGAACTAACATACGATCTAGCAATCCCACTTCTGGGTAATATATCCAAAGGATATGAAATCAGTATGGTAAAGAGATATATGCACTCCCACGTTCACTTAACAATTTCTTAAAGTTATGAGCAGGATTTTGTTTATTTTTCTGTTTGTTTTTGTTTTTTGGTATTTGGTTTTTGTTTCACTTTTTGACTATTTGTTAGTTTGTAGAAATTGATTCTTTATGAGAAGTTTTTTAAACTATAACTATTCACGGATGTGTTTGTTGATTTGCCTGTGGTTTGTTTTGTTTTACTTACTCATTCCATTAGAAACCAAGTACATTCAACACATTCAACAACTTTCTTAAATCTGGAATAGAATTTACCTAATTTATTCTATTACTAAAGCACAATGTATGAAGTAAAAATTAGTTGTATCATGATTTCTGTCATGTCATGAATAGTTAAAATATAATTAACTGATTGCTTCTGGCTTACCTATAACTTCAGTTACTGTGGATTTAAAATCCTGGCAACCTTTATGACAACACCTCACAAATACACACCCTTCTCCCATACATGGGAACAAAGCCTGCTGTTATTTTTGCTAGACACTGGGTGTCAGTAATTTGACCTGGAGATGGAGGAAGGAAGGAGGAAGATGGAAGGTGGAGGAAGGGACCACAGATACAGGGACACAGTTTAAATTTTACTGTGAAAGAAGCTGACAGAGCATCAGAGAGGGAGGGGACACTGCAGGGGGTTGTCCTGGGCAATAACCAATAAAGGAGGCCATCAGGGAGTTGGGCTGCATTTTCTCTCTCTCTCTCTATGTTTAGCTCTTTCATTCCTTTATGTCTGAGTCTCACCCACAGCCCTGTGAGTCCTTCGGGCAAGAAGCAACAAGTTGCAGGCTGAGGCTTCTTCTGTGTCTTCCTGGGAAGGGTGGCCTTGATGGAAGGAGGGCCGAGGACTCATGTGTCTCTCTCCTGGACTTTAATTGCCACCTGCAGACTCTCTTTTAACATATTCTGGACCCTTTTAGAAACTAGGACTTGAGACCTGTCTAACGAGCCCTCCCCGCTGCACTGGGCTCGCCCCAGCTGGATGTCTGGCAGACAGGCTCTGGATCCTTGGCATGCTGCCCACCTTGGCCTTTCCCTTTTGTTACCCTAAGGGCTGTGTGTTGTGAATCAAGTCACTGGGCAACCAGATGTCTTCAGAAAAGCCCCATGCTCTCTGGCAACTACTGTTCACTCCAGCCAAAACTGCAGAGAAAAGAGGGCATCGGGCTTAGGGGGACCAATCCCAGACTTCCGTCCAGCCCCTTACAACTAGTCAAGCTCCCTCCCAAGTGGCTCGTATTGGAATATTCTATAAGCAAGTAGATACCTCCTCACCTCTCGGGTGAGAACTGGTAGCTCCTCCCTGTTAAATGCACATCTCAGTGCCTCTTCTCCAAGTAAGTTTTGCAATAAAAGAGCTGTCACTGTGAACAGGTGGGAAGAAGCGAAAGAGCTTGTTCACTTGCTCCTGTTGCTGCTGTGGCCCAGAGACAGGACACCAGACAGGTGAGAACTG